AAATTAGTTATTTTATATAATTATTATATTTATATTGTAATTAATATTTTAATTAATATTAAAAAATTAATTTAAAATTTTTTATTATAATATTAAAAATTTTATTAAGGGGTAAGCTATACTACATTTAATCCTAAATGGATTTTGTAATAAATTATAAGAAAATAAAACTTTAAAGAATTATACTGCAAAATTTTATTAAGATAATAGCATTTATTTCTTAAATAAAAAAGTTTTTAGACTAATTTTAAATTAGTTTAGCTCAAGAAAAATTTTTTAAAAATTATCAATTTTGGTTTTTTTGTAGCACCTAGTCTATTTATTTAGATTTATCTTATTATCTAGTAAAACTTTTTAAGAATTAATTTAATTTACTAGAAGTGCTAGTTTGATAATTTAATGAAAAGGCATTTCTATTTATATACGGGATGTATGTATACGGGCAATATAGAAAGCCAATCAGATTGCACGATCAGGTCTAATGTAAAATTATTGCTTTTTTTAAAATATTGACGACATCGATATCAACATTTCGATTATGGAAACGGATTTGCAAACTAGTGCATCTATGTTGTGCCTCAGATGCATCCTTGCGTAATATGACACCCGGCCTCGGTATAATTTAGGCCAATTATTGTAGATCATTTAATGCTGTTCATCTGATAGCTATCTGAGATACGTACGTCAGCTGCAAGTAGGGATGTTAAAAGTCCCGTCCGAGTCAGTCTTTTGAGTCGACTACAAAGAAGTCGAGTCTTTATTAAAGTTCCCAAGTCAACTTGGGACCCTACACCGCATTTCACGTGCAACTTATATATTAAATATAGCACTGTACTAAAAAGAAATGTATATGCATGCAAAATTTGCATGAAATGCATACATATCTTTTTCTACTATATTAAAATGTTCAAGATGCATGTGAAATGCAGAGTTGAGTCCCAAGTCGACTCGGGAACGAACTTTAATAAAGACTCGACTTTTCTACACAAATATACACTACGTGTACGATTATAAATTTTATTTAAAATAGAATAATAGTTATATTTAAATTCTACGTATACGCAATAGCATTACAATTTTTTTTAGAAAATTATAATTATTATTATTAGTAAGTTGATGTCTCAAACTCTAAAATAAATTAATTACATATAAGAATTTTAGCAATTCTTTTTTAATTAACTTTTTCTATAAGTTAATGGCAGTTTTTGAATTACAAACTTTATTATTATTTTTTTTAGATTATTCTTTATTACCATTTGCTTAGATGTATAAATTCTTTTGTGCACTTGCATTTTAAATATTTATTAAATTAAAGAATATAATATATAATTCTTGCTCACAGTATAATAATTATATATATTTTATGATAATACTTTTAGTTTATATAAAATAAGCTTTATGCAATTATCCGACATTTTACTATGATCAGACTGCCAAATAACTTAGATATCAGTCTGGTCGGTAGATGATAACGACAAATACTGTGTTATAACGTGACTTTACAGAAACTAATTTAGAATCAATTTCTGAAAACGCAGCCTAAAATTTGGTGCAGTTGACAAACATTTCGAAAATTTAATAGAGTATGATTTAAGGGCTTTACCCCTAGCTCTAGCCAATTTATTGTCTTATAAATAACTTTTATCAAAAAAAATTTTTTTTTAAAAAAAGAAATATTTACAATATAAAAATAATTTAAAATTAATCTAAATTAATATAAGCTAACTAAATACATAAATAAATAAAAGTTAAATAATACATAAATAAATAAAAGGCAAATAAATACATCAATAAATATAATTTCACTAATCATTATTATCATCACCTGTTATTTTGATTTACTACCTCAGGTTCAATTATTATTTCCATATTTTCAGTGGTACTTGTTTCGCTTTTTTCATTAATATGATTATGACCAACTTGTTGAATATATTGTAATTCCAATTGATCATAACCACCCAATTTATAAATAAGCCTTGCTATTAACCAAGTAAAAAGAAATGAAGCAATTATTACACAACCAATAGTAAAAAAATGTTCACTAAGATAAGAAAAAAAATCCCAAAAAGGACCAACAAGACTTAATTTATCAACCAGAATAGTAAAAATTTCTATTATTCCTATGGAAAGAGCTATTATGATAGAAAGTAAAGTAATGATAAAATTATAATAAAGTTTTCTAATAGGATTTATAAGAGCCCAAGAATAAGTTTCCAACATTAATATACCATCAAGAGTATCAATTAAAGCCATCCCAGAAGTAAAAAGTAAGGGAAAAATCATGATGAACCAAATTGAAAGACCTTGATTAGCATGAACAGCAGTAACACTTAAAAGAGCTATTTCAGTAGAAGTATCAAAACCGAAACCGAAGAGAACACCGAGAGGATACATTTTCCAACTTGAATCAACGAATTTAAACATAGGAGCGAAAATCTTTCCCATACAACCAGTTGAGCTGATATCCAAATTATCATCTTCAAAAGAACCAGTCTTTTTTAATTTTCGAAGAGAACGACAAATGGAAATTAATACGAAAATATTAATTATTCCAATAAGAATTAGAAAAACGGCAGAAACACAAGTTCCTATTAATCCACCTATTAATTGAATATCACCAAAATTTTCTTTTACAGCAGTAGCGGTTAAAGTGATGGCGAGGCAAGCAATTATAACGATTGTTGAATGACCTAATGAAAAGAAAAGGCCGACGGATACAGATTTATTACCATTATATAAAAGTTTACGAGTTACATTATCAATTGCAGCCAAGTGATCAGCATCTACAGCATGCCTAAGTCCTAGGGTATATGCTAAAGCGGCGGTTCCAAAGAGTGAAGGAACTCTTATGAATGCGAGTGCAGCAATAACCCAACTAGTAATATTTACCACAACTAAGATTGAGATTATAAAAATTGTTTTACGTTTAACAGTATCATTTTTGTGTTCTATCAAAAGAGGAGTTTGTGAAGAGAATGTAACTGGTGGTGGTGGTGGTGGTGTTAAAGACTCTATATTTTGAATTATTTCGTTATTTCTCATTTTTTTTCCTGAATTTTTTTGGTTTAGAATTCCTGATTAATTTTATAGAAATAGAAATTCTTTGTACGTACATAAGTACTTATATATATACGTGTGTTTAAAAAAAAATTTTACTTGAACAAAAAAAGCTTCGATTGGCAATAACGATAAAAGATTATGGTAGCACATATTTATTATAACTACGTAATTAAGCAGTAAATAACTTAAGTTTAACTTCCGCTCAATTCTTAAGACATATACGTATGTATCACCTTAATGGTGCCATCTTAGGAAAAAAAACAGGCATAACATATAATCAAGGATTAAAAATTCATACGTATCGATATGTATGTATATTCGTACTTAAATATTAATTAACATTAATTGTAATTTCAACGTAATTTCACATTTCAAATGGGTTTCACAGCAGATTTTGTGAATGCTTGTATTCTTTCTACGAATAAAAGCTTAGTACTTGACATTGCACAAATAAACAAAAGACCTTGTTTCGTGATCTAGATTGCATTACGTACAGTTTTTCATTGAGTTAATTATATACCTTGGGACTAACTTTATTTTACGTCGATAAAAAAAAGCACATGATGATTAACCAATCAAAATAATACTTATAATGAATTAATAATATTTTATTGTCTTCTGACTTTCTCATACGTACGTACGTACGTACGTACGTAAATGAGACTTAACGAGACAATGAGTTTACCCAATAAATTCTTTTGGAGTATGTACGCACGTACGTCCATATCGATATTATAATGCAATATATTATTGGTTTGGAGATTAATTATAAGAGTTCTCTTTAGAAACAGTCTTCTCTTTAGAAACAATCTTTTTTTTATTCGTGAAATGAAAAAGTGCTTTACATAAATATAATTGTAAATCAAGGTGTAAATCATGTGTAAATCAAGGACAATATAGGAAATTTTTACGAAATATCCCGATTACTATTCCATATCAAGATCATCATTACTAATAGCCAATCCACTAACTCATTTATAAGGTTAATGCTTCTGCGATATTGTAAATTAAAATAAAGATTGGGAAGGGGCACATTGATAGACATTCGGAAAATATTTACAGTACAACTAGAGTAGCTGGATATGAATTTAACGTTAAAGTGATTTTTTTTTAATTTTTACGGTGAGGCATTTAAAATGATTTTTATATATTGTTGATATTATATAATTATATTGTCATTTTTACAGTACATAATAATAAAACCATTTCTTAAATAAAAAATAGAAAACAGGTATAGTTTAATTATGAGTCTAATCGTGAAAGCTCATAATAATTAATGTGGCGGCTGAAGCTGAGATTGGGGTCTCTATTTAAATCTATAATAAATACTTACTAAAATTCATTTATACTCTTTTATTAATAAAATTAATCCTAATCTAACTCTAAAAAAAGCCGACAAAAAAGGCTTAACAATTTTTAAAATTCAAGATTAAAATATTCCAAGATCTCAGTTTCAGCCGATCTCAACTTCAGCTACCACAATTAATACGTATAGTACTGTATAACATCTCTACTGCAAATCGGGTAATAGTTTAATTCTTTATCATAAACAATTTACTACTTTGTATATTTTATCAAATTATTATCAAGAAGAAAAGCTGTGTTTAGTAAATACGACAGAAAAATTAGCCAATGAAAGCGATAACAAAAAAAAAAAGAATAACGATAACAATTTACTGTATAACAATAAAATATAACAATGTAATATACTGAACATTAGGATCCTTCATTTTAACGATCATGTGATACGTGACAGATGGAACATTTTGAAGATCCGCAAATATATCATATTTTTTTAAGCCGCTAAATTTAATATACATTATTTTTTAACGTTAATTCAAGTTTAAAACCTAAATCACATGGGATTAAATTGTCAGTACTAAATCGAATGGTATAGCTACGTTTACTCTATTCTCTTTTATAAAATGTACTTTTTATTTATTAAATCAACCTTATATGTTCGACGATGCTTCCTTTGACTTGAGAATTTTTATGATTTTATATCATTGATCTCTAATCATTTTTAAGAATCATACATACTATCGGAAAAGTTGGAAAGTTGAACTTTGATTTGACCTTTTTTGACCAATTTTTCCTTTGTCTAAATTTTTTGGCATACATATATTCTTGTTTTATCTCATTATATGTTGCTCCAATTTTCAATAGGGTTTAGGTCTGGGGAATATAGTAATCAATACATTCTTTTTGTAACGTTCCTTTTTTGGTGTCATCATGTTAGTGCTGGATACCATTTCTTGCCTTTAAATAGCCAACGAACCTCCGAAATGTTTTCTCTTGTGTATTAAACCTGCCTTTGTACTAAATTTTTAATTAGATGCTTTTAATATGTCGAATTGGTCTTTTTTTAATACTATATTTCTGAACAATTGAAATGCTGTTTAATATGTCGAATTGGTTTTTTTTAATACTATATTTCTAAACAATTGAAATGCTGTTTCATCTATAAATAAAATCTTATTCTAAGTGTTATGGTCTTGTTTTTGTACTCAACTCGCTTTTGTGCTTGCTTGCTTTTGTACTCAACTCGCTTTTGTGCTTGACTATTTTGTACTTGTAGTTCTTTTTTGTATTTGATGCAGAAGACTTTTTCAAATATTCATAATGCTGAATCAATTAGAATGTTTAATTAGATTCAGATGATGTATATTTAGATTTAGGTCCGATTTTTCAAGAAATTATAAGGCTACGTAAAGGATTAGACATCCAAACGTAGAATCTCTTTGAAGCTAAATACATAAATATAATTAATAATTTATTCATAGCTTATATTAAAAATTATTACGATAAAACTTACAAGTTCTTTTGTTATATTTTCGCTTTTTTTACTCCTTATTAAATTTGCTTTTTTTGTTTTCTCTTTGTCAAGTTTTAAATCGCAAAAGTTAATGCTTTTATAACATTATCCTACCCTTTAGAACAATCAATAGATTTAATGTATATATCTAAAACTATTTAGATCTATTGTCAATTAGCTATGTTATCCAATTAAACATAATAACAACATTTGTTGAAAAATAAGTTGATCTTGTACTGAAGTTTTAAAATATGTTTTAAGTTGATTTAAATACGATAATTAATAAAATTTGTGACATTTGAAAAGAATAATCATTAACACTTATATACTAACCAACTTTTACCACTTTGAACTGTGTCATAGATTTCAAATTTGAATTATTATAATTATACCTATGGCGAGAAGTCTAAACGTATTATTTGTTAGTTGTAAATCACAAACTAATGAAATGGCAATGCGACGAAGTTAATCATAAAATAAAGATGAAAACAGTACATCAGTACATTTGGGAATTTTGAAAATGGGGTTCAAAGGGTGGTAATGAATCTAAAAAATTTATTTCGGATTAGTATTATTATGTACCCCTACACCATCATAAACAGAAGTTCGTCTGATTGGCTAATAAATTCAATTTAATTTTACATTATTTATACAGTTTAGAGTACTATTGAAAACTAAA